TGAGAGATCGTCCTGAGTGTCTATCGATGATCAAAATCGTTCATGTTATAAGGTTTGTCAAGAATATTATCTATGTACAAAATCAAATTAATCGGATATTCGTAACCCCATGATTAGGTCCTAATTATTTTTAAAAATTTATGAAAGTTATGTTAGCCGTTTAATTTTATAAAAATAAATATGTTTTTGTTATAAGGCTGCAAATATCCAGTCAATTTAATTTTTTGCATTGTTAATCTACTCAACAAATCCTACAATATGAACCGTTCGAATTATCGAAAGAGGCTCAGAACAACGCTCCATAAGGGAGCACAGCAACCTGCTATGCCTTTCAGCACATCTGAATCCCCAAATCTGGAGTTGGAATTGTTGATCCAATCCTGTTGAATTAAGGATGAAAGTCTGTTTTTCCCTCTTTTCACAAAAAATATATATATATATAAATAAAAATAAAAATAAAAACAAAACAAAAACAAAAACAAAATCTCCTTCACTTAATGAAAACTTTTATGTAATTTTATAAATTTAATTTTAATTAACTAATACTATCACAATAGTATATAAATAAATACATTTTATTTTACATCTCTAACCTAATTCCATCATGTTAGTAATCTTATCATCCAATCTCACTATACTCATAATCTCACGGAACCTAATCTGCCAAACAAACTTGGCGTAGTGTATATCATTCATGAAAAAAAAATAACATCAATTTTATAATTGTAAGTTTTTCATTTCACGTTTTTCTCAACAAAAAAAAAAGATTGACAAACACGGCAAAATAATCAAATTGACCTAATTTGTTTCATAAATGATATACAAGAAATTTTTTACAAAATGTACAGTTCAGATTATCGAAATAGGACTCATTGTAAGCCTTACAAACCACCTAGTTCAAAACTTGAGAGACGCCCAACCTTTGATGAATTGTCGCAAGCATCCCAACTTTTTGTTCTAAAAATACATCATATATTATTTTGTTTCAATTGTAACCTCAATTACAAAATAATGTGTCGAAATTTGTATCATAGGAACAAAGAATCCTAAACTATTATAACATTGATATAGAACACAACGTAGTGTGTAATGGGACCCCAAATAATAGCTAGTTGGCTTCTACTTGTGATCAACTCAACTGGGGCCAACTCAAACTTGCACGCTACAAAGCGTAATCAGATTCATCACGCGTCAAAACTTGCCCAAAGTTTAAAAAATAATAATAATATGAAAATTAATTACACTTAATAGTTTTCTACTTCCATTATGATTTTAATTTAATGTTTTTATTTTAAATTATGACAATTAATTTCATATATTTTAAAGTTTCGTTTGGCTATGTGAGTTGGGTTATATTGAAACTAAAAAAGCACAATACAAAATAGACTAAATAAATAAATAAATAAGACAAAATGTTACATTCAAAGCATAATTATTTTACTTTTTCTCTCACAAAAGTCAAAAAAATAAAAAATATAAAAAATTGCCAAATAAACTTTTTCGTCCTAAGTTAAAAAAGTCTCAACTCTAAAAAGCTAACTAATTTTTTTCTTTTGCAAATGATGACTAAGGCCTCGTTTGGAAAGCGACCGGTTTAGTCAAAAAATTACTAAAAAAGTCAAAAAGTCAACAACCTATATCAAAAAGTCAAAAATTCTATTTTCTCTCTACTTTTTGCATATCTTTTCGTAAAAAGTCAAAAAGTAATCACAAACATACTAGTTTTTTTTACATCATATTTTAGACAACAAGCCAAAAAGTTACTAAAAAAACCTATTACCAAACGAGGCCTAAGGCTTGTTTTTGAGAAGTTAGTTAAAAGCTAATTTTTTGACTTTTTTTGCCTTTTTAAAAAAAAAAACGTTTAAAAAAGTAGAGAGATAATATAACTTAAAATAGATTAAAAGCCAGCTTTTAGCTAAGTTTCCAGAACAGTCCTAAATTAAATTACAATGTCACATTTTCGTCAATCTACCGCTAATATGGCTGGCAAAATTTGTAATGTGAGTAGCATATGACATTTTTGTCTCATCAATATCGTATTTTAATCTTTATATTTTCACTTAAATCTCACTTTAATTCATTTAATTTTAATTTTCATTTACTTTGTTAATGGTAGATGAACAGAATGATGAGATTGTAACTTGATTTGAAATTTAAGGAGTTGATTATCACAATTAAAAATTTTAAAAAAAAGCTAAAATAAAATTAAAATAAATGCATAAAAATATTTAAGTGTAATTAATAAATAAATAAATAAATAAAAAGAAATCCAAAATTAAAATTCAGGTGATATATACTTTTCATGAACTTACAAGCTACGCATCCTTTCAACGTCACTCTTTCGCTACTCTTTGACTTATGTGCCCGCTCCTAAAGTCACACTATTGTTGCCCCTACTGTCACACCCTAGCCCAGAATCACACCCTTGTTTTATGACCTATTAAACACCGCCCAGAATCACACCCTTGTTTTATGACCTATTAAACACCACAACAACAATAAATTGTCACGGAAAATGCTATGGATCCCAAATAAATTATCAAATTTTCTATCAAATTTCTCACATGAGTGTGAAATTTACACAAATTAAATGTGTGTGGGTCCCACACTCATATAAGAGATTTGATAAAAAATTTAGTAATTTGTTTGGAGTCCCTAGCATAACTCAATTGTCATCGGGGGTGGGGGGCAGGTATTTTTTGTGGGCCCTGCTCCGCCCATTTTTCGTTCGTTTCCGGTGTGATTAGAAATGGCAATAAAGTTGGAGCGGGAAAAGTAAACTCCATCCTTGTCTCAATTCTTTTTATTGAGATGGTAATATTTCACTATTGAAAATGCATGGATAAGGGGTAATTTGGAAAGAAGGTAAAAAGTTAATTTTTTAATTTTTTTATATAAAAAAGTTGTAAAAAGGTTAGTTTTTTTTAGCAAAAAAGTTAAAAAAATTAAAAAAAATTAACTTTTTATCAACTTCTCAAAATACCACAAAGAGTAAGATTATTTCTCATGTTTTTGTCTTTGAAAATAGGAGAGATTTCTGATCGGTATATTTGATTTAGAATATTTACAAAAATATGAGGATATATTTCTTTCTTATTTACGCAAAACACAACCAAAATTGCACTCTAAAAAGATTTTTACATTTTAACATTAATAAATAGGGTAAATTACAAATACACTCCCTGAGTTTTGTTTAAAATATAGATTGCCCCCTGTGATTTGAAAAATTACAAATATCCGTTATTATAATTTTTTATTTAACAGAATTAACTAAAAAAATGAAATTTATAATTGCTATCTTATACAATAATAAAATTACCTAAATTATTAATTGAAACATATTTTTAACATCATTAAAAACTGTTAATTGACTTGATAATTTATTAATAAAAGAGGCGATTTGTTATGAAATTAGAAACCTCAGGGGTGGAATGTAATTTTGAAAATCACTGGGGGCGATTCGTATTTTAATCAAATTTCAAGGAGTATATTTGTAATTTACCATAATAAATATTTTACCAATCTGCTACTGATTTTTAGTTTTTTTTTTTTTAAATATCTACATTAGTTTAAAAGTTATTTCGAGTGAGCTTATTTATTACTTTTATAAATAAATTAAAATTAATATCAATAAAATAAAACATTACAAATCATATTTTCACTCTACAAACCATAATCAGTCATAATAATAATCTAAGACTTAAGGCATAAAAATAAAAATAAAAGTTCATATTATAAAGTATAAAGTATATATATTTAAAATTATATAAGTATTAAATATTCTCAACTCAGAATCAGAGTCGGGATAGGGAGCTCATACCCACCCTGGCTACCAAACTTTCATGGGATCAGGAACAATCTGCATATTTTAAGACTAGTAAGGGCGGCATTGGATGTGAGTTTAAATGGCATTTCCTAAAAGCGTTACTTTTTTGGGAAAATGTTTAGTGACCACAAATTCTGTGGCTCAAAAAGTTCGAAAATGTCAAAACGTCGTTGTTTTGGCATTTTCAGAGTTGTTTTGTACCTAAAACGACGTCGTTTTGACATTTTCGGACCATTTGAGCCACAGAATTTGTGGTCACCAATCATTGCCCACTTTTTTGGTACATAAGCCCACTAAATAAAATTTATTAATGTTTTGTATTTTACTTAAAAATAAAATTTTGAGAAGTTATTTACAACCTTTTTGTACTGGAGCCCTTAGTTTGTTCCTTTAGTTGAACTTTATAGGAGGAGATTCTTCCTAGACATTAGATAATTGAAGATTTTTTTAGGCTTTATGATTGGGACCTTAAAAACAAATTTTGTGTTGTTTTTCATGGACTCTTGGACAAAGAGTTTTATTATGAGTCTTTCAATATAAAAATGTGTTTTCAATATTTAAAAATTAGAAAATTTTGACAATAATTTTTTTTTTCTTTTATGATTTTAGGATAGGAATTTTATTTATTTTTTTTTTTTTAGAGGCCTTGAATAAATAGAGTCGGAATATATATCTTCTAAAATTTAGGGCCTTAAACAACCACTTCAATCCTTTTATGCATGAGTCGGCCCTATACATATAGGTATATAGTTAATTCAAATGGTTAGAGTGGTTAAAGTCTGGAACTTAGGGATATGCTCTTTTCAAAATCTCCTATTCAAAACCTCCTAAGTGCAAACAAGTTCTCCAGACCAATCCATATTGGACTTTACCCCGTTAGTGGACGGTGAGATTTGTTGCCCTAATTTACCAAGTTGTTATCAAAATAAATAAATAAATAAATGAGTTTGTCTGCCTTTTTTGATAATCAATTTATTTAAATTATTTTTACCTCGTAAGCAAAAATTGTACCAAAAATTCAACTAGTGAGTTAAAAAAAATAAATAATAATAATAATCTGAATGAACTACACAAAACAAGCTTTCTCGAAAGTGAAATGAACCCTGCTGAATGTTTAGGGGAATGAAAGCAAACCCAAGTGAAATGAATATGTATAAATAGATTCACAGCACTTGTACTTTAGAATTAAAAAGTTCCTTAAAAGCTACTGTACTATATAGTGGCTTTTCCTTTAGCCTCTTCTTCATTCAGAGAGAGAGAGAGAGAGAGAGAAAGATGGAAAAGCTATCAGGGTTAAGCCACCTCTTGATGACAGTGTTCCTCTACAACTTCTCAACATTCATGGTGATTCCAGCCATAACTGATGTTACTATGTCTGCACTTTGTCCTGGACAAAATGAGTGCTCTCTAGCCATCTACCTTACTGGAATTCAACAAGCGGTATGTTTTTCTTTTCTTTGCTTTGCTTTGCTTTTGATTCTGTTTTTATCCATTTGATTAAGAAAGAATCTAATTTTTCATCAAATGAACAAATATACAAGGTATTGGTCATGACATGTTAAGATTCGATTTCTTGATTATTAGTTACTATGTATTTAAATTTGTAAGTCTTTGAATAATTTTTTTATAATTAAGTGTAATTTTCTCTTTTCTTAGCATCCATTGCTTATCTCACAAGCAAATTCATCTTTTATTTTGTTCCAAGATTTCTTAATATTTGTCCAAATAGTAAGTTTTATAAATACAAAAATCAAAAACAAAACCAAATACAAAAAATATATAACTGAGAAAGCTATTACGAAATTTGTTGAAGGAATGTAATTTTGTTTAATTTCTTTATCTTCCTTAAACTTATCTTTGGTCAAATAATTTTTTTTATTTGATTCATAAATGATATTACAATAAAACTCAATTAATTACAATATGAATGATAGAGATCAAATATAATATTTATATGATTAATATAAATAAACTCTCAGAATAAACAGAAAATTCTCAATAACTACTCACTACAACCCATAAGAGTTTTAGAAAGTAGATGTTTTGGTCTCTAAAAGTAAAAATTTTGTTGCAAAAGACATTTAGAGATCAATTTCTATCATCATGAGAATAGTCGTCAAAAAGTCGTCATGAAAAGTCAAAAATAACACTTTTAGCGACAAAATTTCGAAAATATCACTAATAAATAAATTTTTAGGGACAAAATAATTTGGTCTTAAAATGGTTTATTTTTTTAGACAAAAAATTTGGTCCGAAAATGATAATAATTCATCACTAATATCTAATTTTCATTGCTAAAAATATAATAACAATACTTTTCACAATAAAATATTGGTCCTTTAAAAATAATTTTATCTCTAAATTATGATTTCTAAAATTTTAATTTTTTGTAGGGACTATATAGAGAATAGGAGATTCAAACCTTCCCATAAATTTTTTTTTTTGCCAAATAAATTGTTGAAGGTTGTCACTAACATTTTAATCTATATCTATTTTTATAATATAATTTTTTTTTTTTATCTATATATCTACTATGAATATATTTTTTTTGGGTTGTGAGTAGTTGTCTAGTCCTTATTGAAATTATATCAAGTTGACTATTACTTTTAAAAAATTAATAGCATCAGTCATAATTTCACTAGTTTTTTTTTTTTAATCTTAATTGAATCCACACTATCATTATTAAATAGTTTTAAAATATTATATTAGTTTATATAGTAATCCTTTCGGTAATTAAAAATCACAAAAGACACTATAACCTAACAAGGTGGGTTCAATATTATTTTTCCAGCAAAATTTTTTAATATATAATTAATTATAACAATTCATAAAAATGCCACACAATACGCTAATATAGCTAAATAATTAATCATACATATATCTTTATCAATAAAATATTATAATAATCGGATTTATATATCATGTTGAGTTTATTATTTTATTTATTGTAATTGTATTAGTTGAATGTTATCTATCACGCTTCTATTTTTAATACAGTGATGATATATAAGATATAAGATAGTATATCAAATACGATATATAAACTTGATTATATGCCTCGTGTAGAGCGAGATGATTAAATTATATGTGAAGGTCAAATGTCTCTTCGTTTTATCTCCCTTTTGCTGTGTCTTCTAGTAATAGATTTTGGGTTTAGGAAGTTTCCTTAAGTTTGAAGGAAAAGCTGTTTTGGACGCTTTCTTTAGTTGTCTTTCTTACCAAACAATTGAATGTACGAATGAGGAACTTTCGGTGTCATTGAGGATTTTCATTCGTGGTCCCTCCTTTCCTCCAAAGAAATCAAATAAATTGTTGGCTAATTTCATAATATTATATCACATTTTTTATGTAATATTTTGATAAATAAAAAATTATAAAACACATTAAGTGAATTATTCATTATTTATCTCTCAGTTATCTAATAATGCATGAGTCATTTGTGTTCAAGTTAGTATTAGACCCACAAGCAAACCAAATCCGTTATAGATTTTTGAATCCAAACCAAATCAATCCTTCACTATAATAGAATTTAACCATCCCAACATAATTCGAGTCGAAACTGCACTTCCAGTACAAGAGGGAAGCTCAACGGATAAATTATTCATTTAAAAAACATAGCATTAATTAATTTCAATACAAAAAAAATATTTACAGTACACAAGTTTTGAACAAAGGAAACAAAACATCATTCCAATTTTTAATACAAGCTATTAAATACAAAAACAAATAATTCATATTATTTTAATACAAGTATATAATATTCGAAACAAAAGAATGAATATAATTTATCAGATATTAATGTCTACCTTAATATTTAATTTTTATTATTTATATGAATACAACTTAACATAAATAAAATTTTATATAATATATATATATATTTCACTTTCAGGTTGGTTTGATTTAAAAATGACCTAAATTAAGAATACAAAATGACTTAGACATCCAACGGGGTGACTCCCACCACCCCAATAATTTGTGATTGGCTCAATTTTTTTATTTTTTTTATTTTTGATTCTCCACTCCGGACCCCACGTGGGGATGGGGGTGCTGGGGTGCCCCACTGGGGTCCGGAGCATTGCCCATTAAAAATTAAATCGATCGGATGAAAACCATAATTTTAAGACACGCACAAAAAAATCAAAAAAAAAAAACCACCCACCCACATCCCCATTACACATCATAATAATGCCGCCCAACACGTCCAACTTTTCACCTTTGTCCAACACAATGGATACAATAATCTCCTTGAAAAAACCAAACATGTTGACTGATAACTAGTTCTAATGTAATTGTAAGGATAAAAAGATCATGGGATTGGATTATGTATTTTTGTCAATTTTAATTCTTAGGTTTAAATATAAAAGTAGATCTCTACATTGACATATACAAAATGAATAGATTAAGAAGATTTGAATTAAGTGGTCAAAAAATAATCAAATTATGGTCGCTACATCATATAATTTATGTGCAGTGATTTTAAATAAATCTATTTGTTTCCCTTCACAATTCAAAAACTTTCTAAAAATGAAATAACATAAGTAATTTTAAGGAACTAATAATATGAATCATGACTAGTAGTCCTAATCCAACCGAATGAAACAAGTATGGCTAAAGTGTTCAGATATATGTAGAACGTTTTTATTTAATCAATACACAATATAATGTAACAGTTATATAAATAAAATATAACCCGGCTCTTGTCAATGAAATCACATTTCATGATTAAATTTTACTTGCATATTCATTTCCATGCTTAATGACATCATATTCATATCTATTGATCTATAACTCTATAAATATTTCACTTATCTTTAATGTTGTGTTTGATTGATGGATTTAGGGAGGGATTTGGAAAGAGAAAGAGAAAGAGAAAAGGTGTGTAAAACTAGGTGAAATGTAGGTATATTTTATTCACATTTCACCTAATTTTTACTTTTCTCTTTTCAAATCCCTCCTCAAATTCCCCAACCAAACACAGCGTAAGTGTTTCAAATAATTATTAGAATTATCATATTTAATTACAAATATGTGTATATGTCCACCTGAGGTTAGAATGATATTTTTGGCAATTTGATGATAAATTTCAAATCAACTAACAGTACTTACAGATTATAATAATTACGAAATTTGAACTAACTTTGTATAAAATAATAATAATAAAAATGCAGATAATGGGAATGGGAACGTTGGTGATGATGCCTCTGATAGGAAATCTCTCCGACACTTATGGAAGGAAAGCTATGCTCACTCTTCCCATGATTCTCACTATTATACCCCTAGGTATTTTTTATAATTAATATTTCTTTCATTCCTTCCTAAATTAAAACCTTAGTAAATGCATGCTAATAAAACAATCACTTCCTAAAACCTATTTTCCACATAAGTTTTCTCATTTAAATGGTTTGGATTCTCCTCAAGTTAGATTCACTATTAACTTGGTGGATCCATTTTGAGATTCACCTGTGGTAATCTGAAATTTTGTTATTTTATTAATTTATTGAGGGGAGCATCTATGTAAATTTTGAGATGATCAAATATCAGTAATTAACGTTTATATTTAAAATAAAAATAAATGATCTCATATTAAAATTATACTTGTGGTCAAATTTTTTAAGGCTATTGCGATATGATTATATAACTATTAATTTTTGATAATTTTTTGTGTGAATAGCTTCTTCTTTCTTCTTCTTCTTCTTCGTGTTTTTTTTTTTTTTGGTATTTGTATTTGTATTTGTGTGGGTTTCTTAATATTGATACACTAAGATTTTTAACTAAAGTATTTAGTAAGAATAATTATCATATTGAATCCTAATTAAAATAACTTATAAATAATAAATATTGAACACCCACAAAATTATTATTCTTAATAATGTCCAAAAAAAAAAAAAAGTACTCATATATATTTTCTTCTTCTTTTTTTTTTTTTTTTACTTCTTTATCGCTCATTTGAATCTTTTTAACTCTCTTTACTTATCAATATTTGTTCTCTCAAACGCTATATCATCTCTTTTTTTTCATTAGTATCATCTCTTCTTAAATGTGACAAATTAACCTAATACTTTTTCACTTTGTCTCTCACCTCTTTGATTTTTTCCACCAAAATATCATGTAGTTTTAAGAGTCAGACTTTTCTCCAGTCCGATGATGTTGAGCCCATGGGGTCCATCACAAATCTTGTTTTAATAATTCGAACAGTTCAATGTGCAGAACTCTCCGAAAATTCCATCCCTGCAAAAAGAAAAAAGCACGTTAATTAAATATTGATAGTCACTTGATCAAATCATATTTCTATCAATGATAAATATGATTTTCAAAATAAATCATTGATAAAAATCTGATCCAATCAAATAGGTATCGATATCCGATCAACGTAATTTTTTTGTAGAAACGAAATAATCGACGAACTCTACATATTGAACAGTTCGAATTATCGAAATAGGACTCGTGATAAGTCTCATAAGCTCAAACAATTTGATCCAATCTATATAATGGACTAAAGAGAATCTGTTTCCTAATTTTAATTATCAATTTATTTATTTTTTTCTTGTCAAATCATTTTTTTTTATTTTTTCTTTTAACTCATGAATGTTTGACACACCGATCTTTTCTCTGAATTTTAAATTTGGCCGACACCGTTATTAACATATAACAAATAAGAAGTTAGTTGTTAATGCAATCATGCGTCATCATGCATTAATAATTTTATGGTCTCCCATTTTCATCATTGAGGCAGCCAATGATAGGGGAATTGAAATAAAACAATTTAACCACCAGGTGGTCGGCCCCCGGCCAACGGATTGTGTTTTTACAGGGATAAGGTAGGTTCAAATTTTAGGGGACATGTTTTCTTAGTGGAGATTTTGTATTGTAATTTGATTAAAATTTGATATTTTTTGTGATGCGTGATGAGATTTATTAGATATTTTAGTGGTGAATCATTTCTTATGAATTGGGTGAAATTTGTTCGACAATCGATTATTTCAAGATCCAGACCTACAGGTGCTATGATATCCTACAAAACGTTCTTTTTACAACTTTCATTATTGTCTTAATCAATAAATAAATAAATGTGATATAAACTTTTAAGATAAATTACACTTTATCGCCAAACAATCATTTTATCTCTTTCAATTAAAAATATATATAGTTTGTCACTACCTTTTATTAAAAATATTGAGAAAAAATTAAAAAAATTGACATGTTACTTTGCACTTGACTTCTCTTTATTATAAAATATTCAAAATGACTTTATTCTTCTCTTTCATTATTTTTGTCTTTCTCATTCAGCGTTTGGTTGCTTATACTACAGTTGCCATAACTACTACAGGAGTAGAAGAAAAGAAGGAAGAGAAAAATTAGGTCAATTTAGACATTCTATAATACATGAGATGTCATAGGCAAATTATAAATTCTTTTAAAAAAAAAAATCACATTGATACAAATTGATAACTTGAGGTGAAAATGTAACATTTTTTAGTCAAAGAATTAAAGTGATATTGAATGATAATTTAAAAAAATAAATGTAATTGCCCTAACTTCTATGTGGTATTAACTTTTGGTTACAGCCATTTTGGCCTATAACAGAACAAAGAACTACTACTATGCTTATTATGTGCTAAAGACTCTCACAGCCATGGTCTGTGAAGGAAGTGTCCACTGCCTTGCTCTTGCATATGTTGTAAGTTTTCTCTCTTAATTGGCAAATTATTTGTTAGTGAGTTCGGTTTCTCTACGATTAATTTATGCTGTAAGCTATTAAAAAAATTATAAATCAGTAAATTGCGGTTATGGGTAAGCATAGAATTTAAAAGGATAAATTACAAACACATCCTCTGAGATTTATTTAAATTACAAATTATCTCCTGTGATTCTAAAAATTACATTATGCCTCCTAAATTTTCTAATTTCATAACAAATAGGTCATTTTATTAATAAATCATCAAGTTAATTAACAGTATTTAATAATGTTAAAATTTTATTTCAATTAATAATTTAGATAATTTTATTATTGTATAGCTGAACAGTTAGAAATTTCACTTTTTAATTAATTCTGTTAAATAAAAAATTTTAACAGGGAGATATTTGTAATTTTTCAAACCACAAGGGACAATTCTAATATTAAGCAAACCTCAATAAGTGTATTTGTAATTTACCCAATTTAAAATAATGAAATGAATATATATTATTTAAGAAATTATGTAAACCAATTAAAAACTTATATTATAAAATACTGCACAATTTAACTCTAGATTGATTACTTTTTGAAAAATAATTGGGAGCTCTAATGGGAGTGGACCCTACTGTGAAGTGATGTTTTGACTTTAATTTTATTTTTTTATTCTCTGTCACATCATTAAAACTTAATTAAAACTCTAAAATTAGAGGGATGCATCATTGCTATGATATCAAATGCTTGTAGAATAAGTACAAAACCTTCACAAATGGTGGGCAGTTGATCTCTCTTCTTTGATCTCAAGGCTCCCCTCTTGTCATATGCTAACCCCAAAAGAAAAGAAAACAAAATTTAAAAAAGTTGTTAATATGATGTGATTTTGGTTTATTTTATTTATTTGATTTTTTATTTTTATTTTTATTTTTATTTTTTTGGCATCAAATCCGTACCTTATTCAGAGGTTATGGGCTCGATCTCACATAGCTTTCGCTACAACAGAGGGCTTGATGGTCTCATTACGGTCAAAAAAATTAAAAAGCTTTTTGAAAATTACTTTATTTTCTTGCAATAAGAAAACTTTTTTTATAAGAAAATAATAATAATAAATCAGTGGAAGAGGAAACAAAAATAATAATAAAGGGTTGGGGCAAGTACTATCACACCCATTAAGTTTTAAGTTTAGTTTCTAAAGATTGATCAATTTTTGGCCCAAGCCCAGCCCACTCCATTAGCAATCTGAGGACTGGGAAATCCGAATAGGGCTTAGAATGAAGCCTTTGAAACCCAACTCAACTCTAGGCTAAATTCAATTGGGCCAGCCCATTTTTTTTTGTAGCCATTTTGGAAATATTACAGTCTGGGTCATTTGATGTCCATCCAACTCCAAACTGCACTAGCTATTTTTAAAAAGGAGAATTTCAAAAAAGTGAAAATTAAGAAAAACAAAATTAAATTAAATGATGAAAGTACAAGATTTATTTGCATTATCTGATACATAATCACTTTTACTTCCATTATTTTGAAATTATTTTTCTACTCACCTCTTTTTTTATGTTCTCCCTTTTTATAACCCTTTTTAGCGTTTTTTTTAATTAAATTATTAAGATTACTAATTAAATTTTTACTTAAATGTAATTATTTGACAAAAAAATGTGATTTGCCTAAAGTGAAAATGTGTTTTTTTTGCTTTTTTTTCTTTTTTCTTTTGGCAATTGATAATAGAGAATTAATACGGTAGGTTAACACATTAACCATTAATGTTTCTATATGACTTTAAACTCCAAACATTTTTCTAGAAATTAGGAATACAGTCACTTGAATTATGCTCAAGTTTTAAGTGAAAATGTGGTTGAATCATGATTTTTAAAACAAAATTTATCTATACAATATTTGTTTAATTTTAAACCAAAAAAAAATAAAAAGTTAATATTAAATATGATTGGGGCAAATTTTAAAAAGTTTTTAATAATTAAACAATTAAAATTAAGGCCATGTTTGTTTGGGCGGATTGGATTAGTATTCCCATAATAGTCTTAGGACTACGAATCCGTTGGATTATGTATCCTATCTTAACTAATAGTCAAGTTTAAAATAATTAGTCCGTCCTTCAATTGTTTAACCAAACATTGGATTAATAATTTTATTGGACTATTAGTCCAATCCCAAGCTCATGTCCATCCAAACAAACATAGCCTAAAAGTAATGTTAGAAATTCTTGACACACGACATCATAACGCGACTTTTATATGTAATTTATCCATTTTATGCCCCGTGATGCTGTGTGGATGCTAACGTAGCATTTTTCATTCAAAGTTGGACAAAATTTTGTTTTGAGCGTAAATTAAAATAAATATGTTTAAAAATGGAATTTTTTTAAAAAAAAATTAATATTAAAATTTTATAAGATAAATGACATATAATATTTTTATAATAGTTGGGTCCCTTAACATTTTAAAAAAAAAAAATTACACAGAGAAATTTTGACCTGACACAAAAAAAATTTGTCCCAACAAAGAAAAATTTTGCCCTAACACATCGAAATTTCTCTAATATGATCATAGAGAAATTTCGAAATTTCTCTAACATGATCACAAAGAAATTTCATTGAAGGACCTTAGTTAATAAAAATAAATAAATTGGACATCACTTACTACCCAAAGTTGGACACTAATTTCCCTATTTAAAAATATTAAAAGTGAAAAAATTATAAAATTTAAGGGGGCAAAAGTGTAATTGAATAGGAAAATTATAAAAATTATATTTCCACACACCTACCTACTTACCTCTGTGCACACACTTTCATGATTTATTTTTTTATTACAGTTCTGCCTTAAAATAAAATTACTAAAGTGTCCTTATCTTTTTCACTAAAACCCAATTTCTTAACCCTAACCCTAGCTCTCACCCACCGCTATTGCCGTCGCCGCCACCATCAACACTGTTACAACTTCTTTGCCACAAAACCGCCATCCCCTTCTGAGGATTTAGATTGCGTTTGGCTAGGTTCGTTGATAGGAAACAATGCATGTTGATTTGAACAAATTTTTTTGGGTGAATAGATTTGAACAAATTTAATCTTGCAGAATATTTATAAAAAAAATTCATTTACAAACAGATGCATAATACATGGTAATTAAAATAGATGAGTTACAAATCCAGAAACATAAGTGAAATATGATTAATTAAGCTATATAATAAGTCTATCAATTGTTGTGTATTTCAAATACCAACCAGATTTAATCCAAAAATCGAAAACAAACAAAAAAAAATTTCTGATGAATATATAACAAAAAAAATTTAATAACTTATAAATTCATAATTAAACCATAGCTCTAACCAACGTGTCATTTACAGCGCCTCAATGTAACATTTTTTAAATTTTTTTCAAGATCAAAGTAAGGGAGAAGAATTAATACTTACAAATGGGTGTTGGTTTAGGATTTTAAGGTTAAAGATAGAGATATTTTTGGCAAAAAAAATTATGCATTGAGTAAAATTATAAAATTTGAAATTGATTGGTGTGTATATTAAAAGAGAATGTGGAGTAAAATGTTTTGGTTTGTGAAATAGAATTACTCGCAAAATTGGTTTGATTTGTAATATCAGGCAGATAACGTACCGGAGAGTCGACGGGTATCAGTATTCGGAATACTTACGGGGATCGGATCCTCTGCTTTCGTCTGTGGAAACCTCTCTACTCGCTTCCTCTCCCCTGCTTCCACCTTCCAAGTTCTCTCTCTCTCTCTCTCTCTCCCTCCCTCTCTCTCTCTATATATATATATTATATTGATCAACTAAAGTGGTGATTTTGATCAGGTATCTGCATCGGTAGCTGTGATTGCGACAGTGTACATGAGAATTTTCCTTCCGGAATCCATTAATGTTGTTGTTGAGAATGGCGTTTCTACTGAAGCAAATGTTGGACTGTTGGATGAAGATAAAGGTTCCAAAAAGAATGTCAGGATATTCAAGACAATGCCTTCCTTTGATGATACTGTCTGCTTGTTAAGGAGCAGGTGATTCTCTCTCTCATCATGTTAAACTTAATTTCTACTAGTTGGGTTCTGCTTGTTTCTTGGGAAATCTGAGAGAAAATTAAATGAATGTTCCAAAATTGCCAAACAAAGAGATACCCAAAAAAAATAAATTGAATAATAGGAAATAATTGATTCTCTTTTGTGTACGTTAATTAATTGATGTCTCCATCTTTTGAGATGAAGATTTTCACTTTTTGGGGTTCTGGGCAAATTCAATTTTGGGCAAAATTTGGGTAATTTTATTTTTCATATTATGTCAATTATCCAATCGATATCTTTTGCTAAGAAATTATATAGAAATTAAAAATAAAATGGTCCATTCAAAATGGCATAGACTATTGAAGATTAGAGGCCAACAATTACCAATGGGGGTTGGTCCAAGCGGAAAGGGACTTGGGTCGCTTAAGCAAAGGTATCCCTTGGGACAGGACCCTGCATATGCGTACCGCAACTTCCTCGACGGATTAGTCTTGGGTCCAAAAAACTTGGAATATCGTGGGAGACCTAAAATAAAATAAAAAGGCCAACAATTCAATCACTTTTAGGAGTGTGAATGAACTATTTTACTCCTCCATTTGAGTTTTTAGAGACCAAATTGGCAGAGAGAGACAAAACACAGAAACTGCAGGTGTAATATGCCCTTCTCTTTTCGATAGCGTTCTTTCAAGTACTTCGGGGTTCATCTCGAACTAGGTTTCAATAGCATGGTGTTCTGTAATTTATGATAAGAACCAAGTTGTTTATTCTGTATATCTCCATAATGCTGAATATTTCTCCTACTATTACTTGTTTGTGACTTTGGTCGGTTTTTTGTTTAATTCTTTTTTCAGCTTGACATTTTCACAAGCAGCTATTGTTGCTTTCTTTAGCAACCTCGGGGATGTTGGCCTTCATGCTGCATTACTGGTACTGTTTTCAATGAATCTTAAGCACAAAATTTCCGCTGTATTATTACATTAAGGCCAAGTTTGGGAAGACTAAAAAAGTGCACTTTTTGTCTTTTTGGACTAAAAAATTGAGGTTGAAAATATGGATGTTTGGGTTAACTTTTTGACTTTTTATTGAAAAATGTGTAATAAAAAATTGTAAAAATTGATTTGTAGAGAAAAATTTGAATTGGGAGTTGTGCAGCCGTAATTGTTGACTTTTGGTGAATAGTGTTAACTTTTTAGCTTTTTGAGTAACTTTTTGACTTTTTGACTTTTTTAGATCTTCCCAAACTTGGCCTAAATGCTACTAAATAAATCCATTTTTATCAAAAAAAGGGCTCACGGATCAATGTCAAAGCACAATTTCTACTCAAAATCGAAGTGACTCCTAAATAAATGTGAACTTTTGATTTTTTTTTTTGATATCAAAAGTATGTTCAATTTTGAAAACTTCGTAAAATAAGTTTCATTTTTTCATTGTCACATTACATAAAAATTCAAAATTACAAGTTTTCTTTATATATTATTTTGTGCGTTGATTCTAATATGAATAATGCTATACAAATAGAAAACTATGCAGCACTTTTATATAGAATGATGTGGCTGAATTAGGACGTTCTTGTGCAGTACTATTTAAAGGCCAGTTTTCATTTTAACAAAAACCAGTTTGCTGATTTAATGGTGATTACGGGGATTGCAGGTACCATATCCCAGGTACACTTTACTCTGTTTTCGTTTTGGTTGCCATTCACATTTCATCTCATTTTGAATACCGGTTTTCACTCTTCATTTTAAACTCCCTATACGTGCACGCATTTGAATACTGAGGCAATCTTGCAGATGCTTCTCATGCCCATGTTGGCTACTGCCGTCGGAGAGGAGAAGCTGCTTTCAATAGGGCTCTTTTTCAACTGTGCACATGTAAGCACATAGCTAGCTAGCTCTCACTCACTTGCCCCTACATTTCACCTTAAATTGATCCTAACGACCTTTACACAAATAAAATTGCCTATAGTTTCGTAATTTACCCACAAAGATACTCCCAAGTCCCAACTAAAATATCTGAGGCTTTAATTTACTGATTTATGGCCTTTGATGCAGATGATTCTTTACAGCATTGCATGGTCCGCCTGGGTATTTCCTTCCAACTTAAAATGCGCTTGCAAGTTTTTTCTTTTTACAACAAAATTTGGATTTTTTTCAGACTGGTATTTCTATATGGTTAGCTAGTTTATATCATCAGTTTTGCTAAGGATTTGAATGCTGATAGGTTCCTTATGCTGCCGCTATGTTCGCTCTTCTGTCTGTATTTTCAACGCCTTGTGTGAGTTCTTTATATCTGATTACAACTCACTCATGATCATGACTAGTTTTAAGCATCATAATTGATGAATAGGAGATCTAAAATGTGCAGTTGCGGAGCATTGCATCCAAGCAAGTTGGGCCCAGTGAGCAGGTATTTTTTGAAGAGAGGCTTTTTTTCGTTGATTATTTTGACAGTGTAGAAATTGTGGGGCCATACATAACATTCTTACCTTATTAATTGTTCTTGCATCTTCCATTACTCAATGGAATCAGTATTGAAACAAATTAAGCCTCATCCATAAATAGTCACATCACACTGAGCAATGTGTATACAACATCCATCTACCATGTGCTTATTTAGATTTCCTCAAAGTAGTGTTTGGCCTCCTCACTTGTGCCCCATCCACTGTGATACTAATTTTTTTTTTTTCGTTTTTTTTTTTTTACGACCTTTTTTCTTTTTATTGTTTTAGGGTAAGGCTCAAGGTTGCATTTCTGGCTTAGGTTCCTTTGCCAATGTTGTTTCTCCCTTGGTTTTCAGTCCTTTAACAGGTAATATTATTATTATTATTATTATTTTAGCAACTTTTGTTGGGCTTGAAAGTTAATTTAACTAATGAAGTCCATGTGCAATTCCAGCTTTATTCCTGTCTGCAAGTCCACCCTTTCATTTCCCTGGTTTCAGTATTGCGTGTGCTGGATTTGCTCTGGTAAGAGCTTTTACATTGTAACTAAGATGCTTGCTATCGTACATGAATTGTTATTAGCTTGCTCTCATCTGTTCTTAGGCCATGCTGGGGTCATATATGTACACTTTCACTGCCTTACTGAAATTTCCATTTGTCAGGCCTAGGACTAGGTTAAGTACAGGAATATGGACATGCCCAGGCTCAAATTTACAATTAATAATATTCATATCAAGTTCAATCTGAATAATACTTTAAGCACCAACCCCATTTTTCATTCATGGTTAAATTCAAACTCTGAAGCTAACAAGCTGTGAGGACAGTTGGTTGCCCGATGTATACAAATTTTTACCTTTTTTGAGTTTGGCATAAATTAAAAGCTAAAACCACCTAACAAGATACTACATACTCCCTGGGAAGGTACAAGCAGAACATATGACATAAGTAACCGTACTTGTTCTGTGAGACGATGCCCAAATTGTTATGCCTTTCATGTGGGTTGGAACTTACCCGACAATGAATTTTGTTACCTTAGAAGCCCCTGTGATGTGTACAAAATTTTACCTTTTTGTGTTTTGGCATAAATCAACAACTAAAACAACTTAACAAGATAAGTAATCCCATTTATTGGGGAATGTCTTATCCACTCATCCCACCCTGCCAACAGGTCATATGGTCTAAACCCACATAAAATAGACACATGAACAATGTAACGGTATAATTTAGAGGATAGATACATTCATATGTGTATATGTGTGCACGCCCTTGTGCTGGCCTGTGATATGTATCCATGTGCAGATGATCGCGTTTGCTCAGAGCATCATGATAAGGGCAGCTCCTCCTATTATTTCAAGTTTCAAAGTTGGCAATGGTATCTGCGTGGAGCCCTAATTTTAATTAAGGCACATGGATGCTGGAATCAGAATTTTTTTTTCCTCTTTGGCATCGCGCTACATTCCATTGTCATTGAAGATAGCTACAGAGCTGGAAGTTTGATATTGCCGAAGTAAGCTGTCACTCTAACACATGCTGCTTAGAATGGTCAGTTTCATCATTAAAAGTATTCTGTTCAATATGGCAGAGTGGCTGAAGTTTGCCTTACACCGAAATGAAGTGATTTGGAAGCATTTGGTACCATCGCTTTGCATTTAATATAATTATTATTCGATGATTGTAATGATTCTTTGTACGTTAGAATCTCAATGCATGTAATGACTCCAAAGTAGAGATTTTCTTGATATCAGCTTAATGAAAATCTGGTTTTGAATATGAATTGTTGTGAAATTCTTTCTTTGTTTGTTGTTGTTTCACATTTTTAACATGAGTTTGATCTTATTGTCAATTTCAAAGCTTTTTCTAGATATAGACATTGAAATGGTGAATGGATTGAAAATTTCTATTAAATGTTTCAAGTCTGAACAGAAATAACGAAAGTAATAGTCATGAATTATTTCATTTGCTATGGTTGTAATTATAGCAGCACACTTCAACATATGACATAATTCAACACTTTAACAATCTAAATTTAAAATTAAAGCAAAATAACATCAAAAATATTGTTTTCTTATTAAAATATAGGATATGAATAAAAACAGGTTTTATTTAACATACTTATTGAAAACAATTTTTAAAAACAAGCCAAATGAATTCTCAATTCTTTTTTTTTTTTAACTCTTATAGAAAACTTCTCTTAAAAAAAATAAAAATAAAAATAAAAAAATAAACTGTCACACTCTAAAATTTAGACAATTAAATATTAAATTAGGATTAAACCCCAATCAATATTCCATCATCCAAATCTTAGGGGTGAAACAAAATCTAAATGTTCCCGTCTTCATAAAGTTTAAGTAAATTTTCATACTCAAAAGATTACAAGGGATTAAAAAAAAAAAAAAAAAAAACTAACAAAAACGCCAACCAAAGTTAATTGATATTTGGAGGGTTTTGGAATTTTTTGAACAGCATGGGGTGGGTTTTTAGTTTTCAAAGTTAGCGAGTAGATTGAGAAAACTTATTTAAAACTCTGTTTTATCGTAAAGTTACTTTTAGTTATGTTTCGATCGAAACCCATGTCTTGGGTAATTTTAGGCCTTGAAGAACATGAACTTAGGTATTATTTAAGAGTAACGGTGAGTGGGGTTGAGCTGCGTTAGTGTACTTTAGTGTGGGGTACTTAGTTTATTATTCTCTTTAGTATTTTTTTAAAATTAGTAGTGACGTGTAGTCTTCATACATGGTTCAGGGCACTAGTTGGACTTTCATACTCTATTCGAAGATTATATTATTTCGTTTTCAGGTGAGTAGTTACATGCTACATATTTTTATAAATGTTTTCTTATCCAGAACTATTGGAAAGTTAAATTATTGTTTCAGGACTAAACTGTTTTGATAAATTATTATATTATCAATGGAATTAAATTGTTTCTGAAACATGTGTAAACTTAGCATACTGTAAACTATTTGTTATGGTCTCATGTTTATAATGATGAACTACAATGTTTTGCGAAACTAAATTGTATTGATTATCGGGACCATCTGTATATTTTAGTCTAGAGAAATTATTCCACTGTGTGTGGTGGCTCTGGCCACTAGAGAACAGATCCGGGTTGGGCCGTGATGACTCTAGTGCTCACAATTGTAAGGAAAAGACATAGGTTAGGCTAGGCTAGATGACCTTCCAGAAAAGGCCCGGGCTGCCACCCCGAGGACAACTCTTGGTTCGATATTGGATCCAACGGGCTTATTACCTTGAAAATTGTGTGGCATGTTACTTGTTATTCTTGGTACCTAGAAAATTATTGGTGTTCATGTTGTAATCTGTTTTAAATAGAAAATGTCATTTATTATGTTCTTGAGAGACATGAATATTTTAACTGTTGAACTGTGGAACTTTCTTTTTGAAACAGATTGTCTTTATCAAATTGTATGCCAATCTAGTTTCTGTAATATATATCTTATTTTGGAATTGAACCCTGCTTTCAAAACTGTATTTACTATCCATGTTGCTACTTATTGAGCTAGTTATTTATCATTTCCAGGTGTTAGAAGGACTTAGAGTGGACTCATGGCGTAGTGGGGAGGGACTCAATTGCATGGACCTCTAGGACATTCATTTATTTTGTTTTAGATTGTTATGTCAAGTTTATACATATTTCTTTTTAGTTTTATTGGGCTTCATTTAGGATTGTTTTGATATGTGGGCTGTTTATATCCCATAAGTTTGGATAATATTGATTACAGTTGGTTTTGCCATTTATAATTGTGGCATGTCACTGGATTGAGTTTTGGTTATTTATTACTGGACTATTGTATAGTTATTCAGTGCCGTTTTGGGAACCTTGCAAAAACGCAACGTTCTCAGCCCAAAATCAAAACGCTGAAGTGTTGAAAAAAGCTGAACCACCATTTGGGAAGAGCTGGAAACGCAACTTTTTGTTTACCAATCTACCCTCATATCTCATAAATTGGGGCCTAGGGCAAAACAAAGCAACATTTGCCTTCTTCAGCTGCTTCATTCTGCGAACTCCTCCTTCAAGCGGCGCTGTGTAACTCCCTCGAACAACCGACGACCTTGTCGTCCCCCGCCGAAGCTGCCGCCGGATTCGTCGTCTACGTCCTCGCCTTCGCCGGATCTGCACCATCAAATACGTCGAAAACCGTCTTCCATTTACTATCGCAAGTAGTGACGGACCCAAAACCATGGATGAACGAGTTCTTCATCTTGTCAACGACCTGCAGATTAGATCTGAAACACCAAGGTGTTCTGTAGTTAGAACACCTGTAGATTAGATCAATGACACTTTTAAAAATTAAAAATTTGATTTATTTCCCATTAACTGAAGTGTAGTATATATATATATAACATATATGTAATATAGTGAGAGATATCATCTGGACAGAGAACGAACCGCTAGAATCTGCTTCCATTGTTTGTCATTGAGGTACAATTTTTGTTTTTTTGTTTTTGTTTTGAAATATTTCAATTTGATTATATGAAACTCATTTGATAACTCTTTCAGCACATCGTTCTAATCTTTGTGACTCGTCGGTGAAGTATTTTTCTGTGGTTTATGACTCGTGTGTATAAAAAAATCTGTTGTTGTTGTTGTTCTCTCAGAGACATTTTATCGAACACCTGATATGCAAGTGGAAATGTTGAGCTATGTATGAATGGCACGATAAACAATTTATGTAGCATTCTTCAAATTGTTTTAAATGTTATCATTAGTTTTTTTTTCTAATTGAGAAACCCATTGCTGTCAATGTAATAATTATTTATCCATCACACAAAAAACTATACCATTACAATGAAAATCTAACACAAATTTCATTCAAAGATAAAAAATAATTACGGAATATCAAAGCGCGAAAATATACTCTAAAACATAAAAGATTAGGTCCCAAAATATATTCTACATATCCATAAAACATAAAAGATGAGGTCCCAAATGAATCGCGTACAAGTAAATATGACCAATTCATTCCATCCTTCAAATTGCTTCTGTAGTGAGCCTGGTCCCTCTTATTCCAAAGCCAACTAGCCTGTAAAAATAGTTATTAAGCTTTTCATTCTTCAATGTTGCTTCTCTAGCGAGTTCGGTCCCTCTTGTTCCAAAGTCAACAACTGCAAAAATAATTATTAAATTCCCCAATGAGTATAAGCATTTACAAGAACATGGATGAACAATTAAATCATCCATTGATGCAAAAAAATAAAATAAATAAGCAATCCATAAACTTAAGAGATTCAATAAAGGTTTAATATGAATTTCATCTAGTTATTGGGTTCATATCAAATTGAAGTCATGAATGCCACCAATTCAATAAATAATACATGGACCATAAATCCCAAAAAATATCATTGTTTGTCTTGTATAGAAAAGATCACCACAATCATCTGTTGCTCTGATAGGTTTATTTCAATAAATAATAAATTCAATCACAATTCTTGTTAGTAAATTCACTTATTAGAACCAGTTATTAGAACCATTTTGCTATCAAATAATATTTTACGATTTTTTTTACTGTTACTAATGAAGGTTATAAGATCAAAGGATTATCTTAGTGGACTATCAGGTGTGATGTTTGGGTCTTACCACTACAGTCAACAGTATAATGCCACTTATTTTGTATTAACAGTCAGTTCATTTCACAAGAAAACTATAAAAAAGATATTTATACTACTAAACTAACGATAAGTAAGCAAGCATAATTATCATTTTTCAGAATATATAAAAACAGAGGTATGTAGAAGTCCATCTTAAATAAATAATTAAACAACATGTTTGAGACTTGTAAACTACCCTTAATAATAAATAATAATATCAAATACATATATACTTAACAATGTTAATCTAACAAAAAATAACTAACATTTGCCAATTAAAAACAATATACATAGATATTATCTCTTCTCTTTCCCCATGACAGTAGAGTTCTAGTGTCATAAATAAATTGAGTCAAACCGAGTAGTAGATAGAGAATAGAAACAAATCCCTTTCCCATTAGTACATTACCAAACCATTGTGTCTTTCTTCTGTCAATGACCTTGCGGAGGTTCCATGATCTATCATAGTGCATTCATAAACAAATACAAATTCCTAAATTCAAAGAGCAGGTTGTTCACGTATTAACCTAAATTCAAAATGAACTTCTTTCAATTACTGTCTTTCATTCCGCACAGTAGATTATATTAGTTCAATTTATAACATGAACAAAAAAAACAAATGAGTATACAGATGGCGTCCTCCACGTCAAGTGCCACTTCATCGTGGCCACCAAGGATGTGTGATTGTGGGTTTGGACATTGCGTCGTAAAGATATCAAGATCTGCCACTCTCTTATGCACTTAGTCACAAAACTCGTCGTTCATTTGGACACTGTGATTGTGTTGCCACTCTCTTATGCACTTAGTCACAAAACTCATCGTTCATTTGTGGTTGTGTCGTATAGTATGCATGCTAACTATCTACTGCAATTTTGTCCAACAAAGATGTGCATCGTGGGTTGGTTGGTGTAACGAGTTTCGCAGCACCAGCTTGCGTACTGACCGCCACATAATGATGTCGATCAGGGGTTACGAGCGGACGTTGCGCGCATAGATTAGAGCCTACGTATGCTTATGACCGTCGTCGGTTTTTTGTGCATCGTTGTTTTGGTGTTGTTGTTTCGGATGTGATGTATTGACATGGATATGAACTGCGTAGTTACTTTCTGTATCACATATATATGTTGTTGTCAGTTAGATGTTTTGGTCCTGTTACATAAGATTTC